GGGTCTCGAACCCACGGGCTCAGGCAATCCACTCACCTCAGCCTCCCAAAGTACAGGATTACAGGCTGAGCCACCGAGTCCGGCTATAATAATTATTAACGGCCGGGCATGGTGGCTCAAGCCTGTAATCCCAGCACTTTGGGAGGCTGGGGCCTGAGGATTGCCTAAGCTCAAGGGTTTGAGACCAGCCTGGGCAACTTGGTGAGCTCTCGTCTCTACAATTAAAAAAAAAATAATTGGATGTGGTGGCACGTGCCTGTAGTTCCAGCTATTTGGAAGGATGAGGTGGAAGGATTACCTGAGCCTAGCAGGCTGAGGCTGCGATAGCCGTAAGCGTGCAACTGCACTCCAGCCTGGGCGACGAGACTCCGACTCAAAAAAATAAAATGAATTTAAAAAAAGAACATAAACACTAGCACTTCATTGTCAGGTAGAAGGCAAAGCTATTACCTAGGTTGACACATAAACTAGGGTGAAAACAACACTGAAGGCCACTGGCCTTTCTCCTGAGAACTAGATCTTACCAAGAATGGTCTGGACTTTGAGAACCAACAAGTATATTGATGGGAGAGACTAGACTGATAACCAGTGTCAAACTGTGTGTGTTGTGTGGCTGGATAAGATAGCTAGCTTGGGAGTTCAGGTCTGTCACCTATTAACTATGCGACCTTGTACAAAGTGCTCTCTATGTTTCGGTTTCTTGTAAAATGGAGATGCCACTAATCTGCCTGTTTAACTGCTACAAACAAATTATCTAAGTCTAGGCCATATTTAATTTTCTCCAATTATTCTGGTAGTGTTCAGGAAAGTTTTTTTTTTTTTCCTGATCCAGATCATGTTTGTATTTAGGTGTTATGTTCCTAGATTTAGAACAGCGCCCCCCCCCCCACCTTGTGTGTGGGTTCATTCACATTAACATGTTGGAAGTGTTTAGGCCATTTTTCTTATGGAATGTTGTAAGGATTAAATCAGGTAAGTGGGTTTTTTTGTTTGTTTGTCTTGAGTTGGAGTCTCACTCCGTCGCCCAGGCCAGACTGCCGTGGCACGTTCACAGCCACCCCAGCGTTGACCTGCTGGGCTCCAGCGATCCTTCCACCTCAGCCTTCCAAGCAGCCAGAACTACAGGTGTGCTAATGCATCCAGCTAATTTTTTATTTATTGAAGAAACAAGGTCTCACCAAGTTTCCCAGGGTGGTCTCAAACCCGCAGGTTCAGGCAATCCACTTGCCTCTCCTTCCCAAAGTGCTGGGATTATAGGCTGAGTTACCCAGCCCGGTCAAGTGTTTTTTAAAACTGCTGTAAAGCCAGTGAGGCATAGTGGTTACGAACTTGGGCTATGGAGCTGGATTTTGTGGGTTCAAATCCCAGGTCTGTCTGTACTAGCTATATAACCTTAGTCAAATTATTATCCCACTCTTTTCCTTAATTCCATCTCTAAAATGGGGATAATAACAGTACCTAAATTAATATATGTAAAATGTTTAGAACAGTTCTTGCACATTAAGTGCTCACAAACTATTATTTTTTCCTTTTTTTTGAGTTGGAGTCTCACTGTCGCCCAGACTGGAGTGCAGTGGCCGCTCCCGGC